TATGCCCGCCGTCAAACTGACCATCGTTACTCCAAGTGCTCCTGTTCCGGCGGCGTTTTGAGTCCATTGCCCGCAAGATACGGTCAAGTCGCCCAGGCATTGAGGACGGGATACGGCATCTACCTCGCACAACTGGGCGTTTTGTAGGTTCGGTGTGCATTCGGGGCGCACCGCATTGCACACCATTCCAGCCAGCGGCCGCTCACTCTTGCCTTGTCGCGCTTGGTCTGATCAGATGGGTTTCTAGCTCATTTACATTGGTTGTTCCGAAGAGCCGAACAGTGACGTGGGCTGTGCACGAGTGTTATAGGGCTTGATATATAAACGCTCCTTGCGTTTGCGGGAAGGCAATCATAACCCACTCACCTGAGCCCGCATTTCAAACAGTATGGCTGACGACAGGCAGGAACGGTCCTTCATGGACATCATCTTTGATCCGACTGCGTGGAAGCAGGACCCGCTGCTTCCTGTCGAGCGTCGTTCAGAGTACGTCTGTCATGCTCAGAGTGTGCGCCATGCAGCTTACTGAGGGTATCACAGCATCTACCCCGCGATCGACCCGCAACTCGCATGGTCCTCTCAGTCTTTCGCCGGCAAGACTGTGCTCATCGTGGGCGCTTCGCGTGGGATCGGTCAAACGATCGCGCTTTACTACGCCAAAGCTGGCGCATCCGTGGCAATCACTGCGCGCTCATCTCTCAAGCTGACTGAGGAGCTCATCAAGAAGGATGCCCCGAAGGCGAAAGTGCTGTCGTACGAGGCGGACGTTAAGGACAAGAACCGCGCTGCGGAGGTCGTCAAGGATATTGTGGAGAAGTGCGGCGGACTAGACGTGTTGATCTATAACTCGGCCGCTTCGCTGGCTTGGGAAAAGAGTGGGTGAAAGTTGTATTCTGATGATCCAGTGGTGTTGACAACGATTGTGCAGGATTAGGTGATGTAGACATCGATGGGTGGTGGAACGCCTTCGAGGTGAACATACGTGGGGCTCTATGCTACGTCCAGTAGGCGACTTTCATCATGTTCGCGCCGAAAGCTGTAACTAAGGCAACTCTGCGCAGACCGGCCATACCGCATTTGGAGAAGGCGAAGGGATATTGCATACTGATCACCAGTACTATGAGCACAGTGCGCGCACCATTGACGTCTGACTACTCTGTGCGGTGTTTCATGACAAATGATGCTTTCACTCGGGCTCACGTTGTGTACAGATAACCAAACATACGCTCGTCCGCCTGGCTGAGTATGTTCAGATCGGTACGTTCTCGCATGCACAGAGTTTCCGCCTCGTGTCGTCCGCTCAATTGCCCCAGAATACCCCGCAATTCATACCTTCGCCATCCACCCATGTTCTGTGCCTACAGAGTTCACGCAGAAAGCGCGCATCGGCAATGTTCTGTTGCCGGACAAACCTGATCTTGCAGCAGGTACCGCGCTTGCACTCTGTTCAGGGCGCTATGACTGGTTGGCAGGAAGGTATGCTCACACTCTGTGATGTATCGAAGATAATCCTAACCCGCGCACAGATACGTGGACTCGAATTGGGATTTAGATGAAGTGGAGGAGAAGTACAAGGCTCAGATTATCGAAAAAGACCTACTCGTTTCTAAGCTCGCACTGCCTACGATATAATCAGTAGTGTATCCAATCTCCCCGATACCACTTGCAAGGCCGCCAAACAACCCCATGAGAATTGCACACGGGTAATGAAACGTTGAACCCTGTGTTGAGCAAGTTGGAGGTAGGGCGCAAGCGCGAACCGAGAGATAGGATCAATACGCCGACGGGCCGACGGAGACTGTCGGAGTTAGCGAGCGGTTCGTAACTTGCACCCATACCATCACACAAGGACTGCTACTCGAGACACTATCCACCAGCCACCCTTTGCCTATGCACGCAGAATGCTGTAGAACAGTGTGTGAACGGCGGGCTCCAGACTCACTGCATTGTCTAGACTCGAGTTCTGAGCATCGGCAGTTCTTGTGTCCACAGGCGACCTCAAGTACGACCTTGTACTGTAGCGACCAGCGTATACTGAGTCGAACAGGGCAGCGCTAAGCTTTCGGAAATTGACTCACGGCACCGCTTAGTGGACTTTCAGAAAGGCGTATTTCACGCTCTACCACAAGCCAATTCCACTTCCTATTGTCCCTCGTCTTTGGGCCTGGCGGAGGACTTGCTTCGACGCGAGGCGGCCGAATTTGTCGGAATGCTGCTGAGTTCGAACTATCGACGATCCGACAAAGGAAGGCCAGAACAACCACTTTGCTGCGCGAAAAATAGACTGACGGAATACATCGTCCTTGCAGACCATGCGATCAACCGCCACACATGACATCGAAACTTCGGCTCAAGAGCAGGCGCCGCAATGTGCAGCTCTTTGTAGTCTTGGCGCTCCAATAATGCTAGGTCAGAACTGCTTGAGTGTGACAATGGACCGAAGTGGGCAACGTCGACAGGGCCGACAATCTTGGCAGTCACACATGTGTGATTGTTCTACTACTAAGCGCTGCACTGGCTCTAGCGATCTGGTGGTTTATTAAACCACCTACGGATGTCACAAGCCACCCTGTTGGTTGATTTTACGCGAGAGTGGTTGTGAGGAAACCATACGCCGTCTTGCACACGTGTAGTTTCCGCGGTTTGGTTTGAAAAAACTTCAGCCACAACCGCAGACGGCATATTCACATATATACATCGACTGACCCTAGCTAGAGGACATTTCCCACTCCCGCCTCGTCTACTGTCTTTCCGCTGTCTCTATATATCTGAGCTTCACTCTTAATCACCACTTCTGCGCCACCTGCCCTCATGAACACGGTCATGGCCGATTCGCCTATCCCACCATTTCCGACCCTCAATACCCCACCGAACCACGATCAACAACCAGCATTCGCTGCGTCCGGCACGCAGCCTTCCACTCCTCCCGATTCTGCACCCATATACGCCGCTTCTGGCGAACACCCCGCGCATCTCGACACGATGGAGGATGCTCCTCTCAACTCCGAGTCCTTCCTCCTAGAATTCCTCATCTACCCCCTGCCGTCGTCTCAGATCCAACCTACCATCAGGGTTGAGCTGCCGCAACCAGGCAACATCGTCCTTGGGGAGGAGGCGCTTGGCACAGCGCGCGAGACCTCGTCGCGTACGTGGGGGGTCTGTGTCACCTCTGACGGGCGTGAGGTTTTGCATGTCCCCGCCAACCCGTCCGAACCCGGATACTCTCCTCAATCCATCCCGATCGACCTCGTCCAGCGCGAGCTTGACATCCAACCGCTTCACGAGCTCTACCCGGACGAGCCGATTCCGGACTACGAGCTACCCGAACCGGAGCCGGTCAAGCCACAGCATATCGAACCCACCTACGACAGGCTTCACCCGCCTCCGGTCGAGAGTAAGAAGCGCAAACTTGACGACGACTCCGAGGTGGACTCTGCGTCGCCGCGTAAGAAGAAGACTCAGAAGGGGGGCGATAAGGAAAATGCCGTGGAGGATGGCACTCGCGGTCGCAAAGGCAAGGCCGTCGCGCCCGCGACCACACTTGCGCCCGCCCCTCTCGTACGTTTTTCGCATGCCATTTCCTCCTCGAAAAGTTCTGACTGGTCTCGCTTAGCCTGCAGGACCGGGAGAATCAGTCGAGCGACTGATTTTCGAGAACATGGCGCCCAAGCAGCGCGATGAGCTTGTCAACGTCAGCCAGATCTGGAAGATCATCCCCTGCCGTGAGGACGAGGCGTCGCTTGAAGGTGTTCTTCATCGCGTTCGTGCAATCCGCCCTACTCTGGGAGGTAACAATGGACGCATTCTCGCGGTTAGTCACAATCCAGCTGATGCTTCCAACCTTTAACATGCTGATTGACTTATCCTCAGGACAAGAAGGCCGTCGAGTCGCTCTTTTTTGCCGGGTGCTGCGGCAACACGGCAGCGCACCAGACGACGTGTCGCCACGCTGTCACCAAGCAGGGGCACTATGCTCGCTTGCGCGAGCGCGCCCTCGTATTGGCCAAGTTCGCGTTCTATCGTTGCACCACCTGCGAAAACAAGTGCGTCCCTAAGCTGTCGCTCTCTACCGCCATCTGAAACTCATGACCTTCCAGGGGCGAGCGTAAGGATATTTTCAAAGGCCGTCACGCGAGCAATTGCGCGCATCAGAACACAGATCCTGAGCCCTTTGCTCATCGCCTCACCGACCCGAACACTTCCGCGGTCGCCCGCGAGCGCTTCACGGAGATGCGCGACGATTGTATCGCAAGCGACAAGAACACATTCCTTGGAAACGGGCCCATCACCGACCATGTCGTGGCGGAACTCATGGACCGTTGGGATGTCGTCCCCGATGCCCTCTGCGACGAGCTCAGACCGAGGGAGTACTACTGCTTCTCTGAGGCAGAGATTGAGGCCCGCGACGTAGCTGCGCATTCTCCTACTACGGCGTAGGCGCAGTCGCCATCTGCCTACCTTTTCGTTCTTGTCCTCATCGACATCCTCATCTCTCGTGTCCGCTCGCCTTTTCTCTTCTGCTCTTTTCGTCTACTTTCTGATTGTATCCCGCCTTTCACTCTCGCATCACGTTCACGTTCTTTGACGTCCATATCCATCTCCTCCATGTTTACGCTCTCTGTCTCTGTCTCTCTATCCTTGGACGCTCTCGAGGGCGCTCGTTCCCTATGAATCCCACATGTCTTCTCATCATCCGAGTGGATAGTAATCCGCAGATCCAATCCATCATCCGCTACGTACATCACGCCTCCATGACTCCATTGCTACATTTTACCACATACCCCATTCGAATCACGGTCCCGGAACACTTTCATCGCATCCTTTACTGTAGAACATTTCCCTTCTCGATTACCATACAACCGCCGTCTCGATCTCGTCACAATTGTCTGTTCCCGAAGCATCTGTATCGTCTCTGTCTCGTAGCATTAGTTGGCCTCTTGTTTGCAATATATGTTTGGTGTTTGCCAAAAAAAGTCGCTCGTGTGGTGGTTCGCTCTGCGAAGACGGCAAGTTGAACATATGGGCGCTCGGTGTTCGGGCCGGGATCCGGACGTCGGCAGAAACCGCGGGCTTGCCGTCTGACGCGGTTGGACCAACACGCTCACCAGCGAACTCGATGCTTCGCGGGCTCCCAGTCGCGCGCCAGGCGACGACCTCCGCAAGTCGCGGACTCGTTCGCGCGACGCGTAGGGTGGGCAATATATAATATCGTGTACACGACCATATAGACTGACATGCGCACTTTACAGCGTCTCGCGACCGAAGCCAATGCTTCCACTTCCACCACCACCGTAGCGCCGAAGAAAAAGTCTCATACTATTCGCAACATAATCATCCTCACCAGTGCTGGTGTAGGCACCTTCTATGTCGGCAGCGCCTTCGTCTCATTTCACGTGCCGGAGTACCGCACTCTCTTCGCCGAGAACGTCCCCGGCGCCGTCTCTGTGCTCGACTTTGGCGAGGACCACGACTGGGACACTCTCACCCCTGGCGACGTCATTCTCGGCGCCCAGAACGCCGGCTTGAACGCGTACGAATTCGTGCAGCGTCTGATCGGCGACGCGGGCAATGCGGCGGACAAAGTCAAGGCTCTGACGGGCGGCGCGGTCGAGACGGCGAAGGAGAAGGCGGCAGAGGCCAAGGAGAAGGTCACCGGTGTCACGGAGAAGGCCGGTACGGAGGCGCGGGCCGGTGTCGCGGAGGCGAAGGCCAAGGCGGCGGCAGCGAAGGAGAAGGCGGCCGAGAAGCAGCGCAGCGTCGTCGACTCGCTCAAGACCGGCGTCTCTATCTCAGAGTCCAAGGTGCCCGCCAGCGTCAAGCACACCGCGAACCAGATCTCTTCGGCCGTTGCCGAGCTTGTCGCCGAGGCTGAAGGTGCATTGGCCCGTGGTACACCTCGCGATCTGCCAGAAGCGACGACTACGCCCGACCAGCCCGAGCCTGGATTACCAGATGCGCTCGGTCCTCGTGTCGATGAACCTGTGGACCCGAACGTCTATGCTGCACCGCTGCCCATCGGATTCGAGCCTCCTCCGGGTTACAAGCGTCCTACGCCGCCCCAGCCCGCGAAGAAGGCTGAACCAGTCAAGGCGGAGCCTGCACCTGAACCCCTCCCACTCGTCGCACCGGCTATCACTGCTCTCGCTGCCGCAAATGACGAGCCTGTCTTGACACATCTGGCTGGCACCATTGACGATCTCGCCGCTTTCCTCAAGGCGCACCCCGCCGAAGCCGACAAAGCCCGCAACGTTCTCGACACTGCTACCACGGACCTTAAGCAGCTCGCTGCGGACTTCGAGAAAGCTCGTGAGGCGGAGCGTCAGAAGCTCGAGCAGAGCCTGGACGAGCAGGCTCGGGAGTACTCGTTGAAGATCTTGGAGGTTCAGCTCGAGGCGGGCGACAAGCTCGAGCACCAACAGGAGGAGTTCCGTAACGCGCAGGCGCAGGAGCGTGCACGACTTGCTCAGGTGTACCGCGAGAAACTTCAGCAGGAGCTGCTCACGCAGAGCGAACTCATCAACGAGCGGTAAGCCTTTCCTGACAGCCTGTATCATATTCAACTTGTACTGACAATATGCACGTCCTACAGGTTGAAGGAAGAGGTCATTGCGCAGGGTATCGAGCTTCAGCGCCGCTGGATGCGTGAAGTCCGCATGCGCGTCGAACAAGAGCGCGGTGGTCGCCTCGCTAAGCTCGACGAACTTGCGGCCGGTATCAAGAAGCTGGAAGCTGCTACACGGGACAACTCGTCATACCTCGACGAGAACCTCCGCCTTCACGCTATCTGGTCCGCGTTGCGTGCATTGGACGCCGCCGCACATGCCCCGGCAAGGAAGCCGTTCCGCGATGAGTTGAGGGCACTGAAGGGGCTTGCGGCCGAGACGAATGATGGTGTCGTTCAGGCTGCGCTGGGTGCTCTCGAGGCTAGCGATGCACCGGATGTTGGCGCCGAGCCTCTCGGCGATCTCGCACGGTGGTTCTCCACCAGCGTCGCACCGGCTGTGTCCCGCGTCGCTCTCGTCCCCGACGCCGGCGCTGGTGTACTCAGCCACCTCGCCTCCCACGCTTTCAGCACTTTTTTCTTCCGCCCCGGTTCTGCTGCAGCTCGCGAGGGTGATGATGTGTTGAGCACGCTCGCCAGGGCGGAGGGTCTGCTTGCGCAGAAGGACTTGGATGGAGCTGCGAGGGAATTGAACCAGCTTCAGGGCACGCCGAGGGTGTTGTTGAAGGATTGGTTGGAGGCGGCCAGGAGACGACTGGAGGTGGATCAGGCCTTGAGGGTTGTTCAGGCGCAGGCGACGCTGAAGAGTTTGCTTGTCATTTAGAGACATCCATAATCTATTGCACACTCTTTCAGGTCCATTGCTCGTTACGCGAGTATCAGCCTTGCAAGCTCGTATGGATAGATGGCTGAAGCAACACTTTATTCGGTCAACCTCTGTCGGTGTAACACGTTCACGGCTCCACCTATGGCAGCCACACCTCGAAAGGAGGGTGATACCTATGACAGGTGGGCTTATCGAAAGGTTGCGAATCACTCACCATGGGGCGATGTTACACAGCCCGGCCGACGTTCAGGAGCCTTGTCATGTCATGGTGCGCAACTGGGCCCTGTGTTTCCCAGCAGAGCGCTACTGATCAAGTGCAAGAGTCCGTTGCAGACCTGCGTGCGGCTCAAAAACCCAAACACGTCCTCGACGACCGTCTTCAAGGGGTTGGTTGTCGACGCGACAGAGGCGGGTGCACGACGCGTGACGTCACGCAACAAGCGCAGCTACACTTCAGAAGGCTCAGTCGAGTTCTTCTAGATGAACGACCACATACCCTGCAAGTACTTACCCTGCATCAACATGCGCGAACATAGCTTTGACAGAGCCTCAATCACCCAGCGTGGCTGTCAGTTAGCATCTCGCCAAGTATCGGAGATCCTCGGCCCTATCGCTCACAAGACTATCCGTTTTGACGCGACGGAGTGTCGGGAATGACAAGCGCCCGTGGTGAGGACGAACGTGCAGGCACTCGCGTCCTCACTCGCCGCCAGCTATCGCATCGCGGCAACTGAAATCCCTGACTCAATGAAAGGCCGCCGTGTTTGTTCCTACGTCCTCAGGCCCTCAGAGAGGCTGTGAGACTGGGCGGGAAGCGACGAGAAGTACTTGAGGTTGATGAACAACGGCCCTGGTACACCTCTTCCTTCTCCTCCCACCTTCATCTCGTCATCCTCTTTCCCCCTCTACTGGGAGCTCTCCGTACTCCTCCATGGCGGACTCTCGCCAACGTCCGCTGCCTCTGGTGCCAGCGCAAGACAGGACGCACTTTAACCTGGACCGTTCGACGTTGGAGCCAGAACACGAGGAGACATGGGCAGAGTCGCTTCATCGCCGCTACTCAGAGCCGCCCGCGTACACTGCGCTGCGGACGTCCACTGATCTGAGTCTCAGTCGCTCGCCTTCGTACGCCTCGAGGCTACCTGGCGGTTTTGTTCCTCCGTCTCCCAGCTCTGCAGGACCCCTTACGCCAGTGCTCTCCGAGATGCATCCCGAGCTCACATGCGAGCATCAGCACATACTCAAGTCACTTGGCAAGGACTGGGCTGCCCTTTTCGTCCGAAGCCGGGCGTCTGCTGCTCATCCTCGACCCCTTCTGTACTCAGGCGATGATGTATCTGGTCGTGTGAGCATCGCTCTCGGCAAGCTCGGCCAAATACAGCGCGTCGAAGTGGTCGTACGTAAATTCCTTTGACAAATGAACCGTCGTGTTGACCTCGACTCTATCTTCAATAGCTGCAGGAGTTCGTGCACGGACGTATCACGCCTGCTGCAGAAACCCGCAAGGTTCTGCTGCCGAGCGATGTGGATGCGTCGCTTGTACGCGCAGGGCTCGTTGAATGGGGCTTCGCACTCACCCCGGCCTTGAATGGCTCATCGCCGTTGCTTATGGCCTTACCTGCGGAACAGCGAGTCCAAGACGGACGGCGCACGTGCCTACTTCTCGTGACGGTCTATCGTCGTGGGATGCTAAACCAGAATCCTGCGTGAGTTTCTCTGTACCTCCTGCTATTGACTTCTCTGATATCCAGTCAGGTTGAGACTGCCAATCGAGTATCTGGGTCCTAGTTCGAGCACCGCCACCATAGACAACATTCCTGCATCCGTCTCTGTACACGATACACCCCCACAATCGCAACATCGAGACTGGGCCCCGCAACCCGACTTCCCTGAGCTACGCATCAGAGGGCACCTCTTCTCCGACCGGGGAGCAGGCAATACCGACATCAGCGTACGGCTTGCCGTTCCTAAGCGCTATCCCTCGTGCGCGCCCATCCCTCTGCGCGCGGTGCTCTCCTGTGCGGATCGCCGCGCGCTGGACTTGCTCCACTCCAATCCCAACGGGCTCGACGTACAAATGATCAAGATCGTCGCCCATGGAGACGCTGCTGCGCGCATTGGACCTCTCAGCCTCGGTCATCGCAGCGAGTTCTTCAGACGCGTGCCCGTGGCGCGTGGGCAGTTCCGCGCCTCCGATATCATCTACGGCGAAGACGATTCTACACTGTGGCGACTAGACATCGAAGGAGAGCTGGTCGCTCTTCCTGATGCAGGAGAAGTTGGACCCACGCTGAGGTTTCCCGATTTGGTCGTGATGGTATGTGTTACTCTTGCAGAGCATAACTGTCAAGAAGCTGACGAGCCGTATCTCCAGTACACCATCGTCTTATTCCCTTTCAAGGTCGCTGGTTTCAAGCCCATCTCAGCCCCGAACAAACAGCTATTTATTGCCGAGATTCCCCTCCTACCAGTTCGCGGGGTCAGTTGACTCACTAGTACTCCGCCTCGAAGACTTTGCAGTTCGGATTATCTATGCCTTCCCTCGCTGGGCATCGTGAGGACTGCCGGATTACCTCCTATACCACCATATACTGTACTGCTCCTTACTCTTCGATCCATCCCCTCGTTTCAGGATCGTCCCGCACTATTATATTGCCATTCGCGGCGGACGCTCTTGTTGCTACTCTGAATCGTAATCACGTTGTATACTAGCACGCATATACCTCATTTGTATAGTACTCATATTGCCCCGAGGTAGCGCATTTCGCAGCTACCCGTAAGCGGCGAACACATTCTCCGAGAAGGCCGGATGGAAATACTATTCCGGCGATCGCACCGGCGGGCCGACGCTGGCTTGCCAGACGCCGACGGGCATCATTTGTTCCGCCCTCATCCCGCCGTCAAGTCCGTCTATGCATGAACAGCGTCGTCCCCTAGTATCCTTACTGTAAATTGAATCACGAATATATCACTGTTGCTACTCCGTGAACGGTCTTCGTGCACAGGATCTTCATCAGCCAGCGCCCTCTGCCGCCAAGCTCTATAAGTATAGACGCGCGCGACCCTTGCACAGGCAGCATGCCCTTGCCTTCTCTCACAGCTTACCCCTACTTTGCCTCATCATACTCTTGAACCCTCCCCGATCTGAAGATACACCAGCTCCGACAATGAACAACGTTTATGGAAATCAGCAGGAGACAGTGCCAGCCGAGCAATATCGTTACGCGCTTGCCAACTTCGTGCGTCGATGACAGCTTCTCTATTTCCAGGTGGAGATCTGACAGGCCTTCTCCCCAGCGTATCGCCCACGAAAAGGTCGAAGAACAACGCGGACAGCTTGAGACACAAGAACGCCAAGTCGCTGCTTTGCGAGCGCGCGTTGCCCAGCTTGAGGGCTCTGCGACTGGTCCTCCGGCGCCTACGCGCCAGGGTGGTAGCACGGTCGACGATTTCACGATCAAGACATCGGCATCGAAGCTCGAACGTCTGATCAACAGATGGGCTGCCGACACCGTGCGCGCCGCATCACCAGCCGAACTCGAAGCCATGTACAACGGGGCATTGAGCGACATGGAGCTCGAGCCGGCGGGAGAATACACAGCGCCCGGGCGCCCTGCAGTCGTGCAAAGTCTCCTGCGACATGCGCTCGCCGAGATCTTGTCAGAGGGCATACTCAATCAATTGGTCGTGACCAGTTCGAACGAGGCCAATATCGAGCTCTCGCGTATACACGCCATCCTCTTTGAGCGCGATCCGACTGTTGCGGCGGTGTGGCGACGACAGACCCTGCAGGCCGCGGTCGAGGCTGTGGCACCTTCCATGACGCAGGCTCTGCTGGAGGAGCACTTTTCGGGGTTAACGAGCGCGCTACCGCCACATCAACTACAAGCCGCGCTCGCTATTCTGGACCAGGCCATCGCATTCTCGCGTATGCTGCATGGGGCAGCAGGCGATGCCTTCTATCGCGCGTTCGTGCCGGAGCCTCATGGCGGGCTCTCCCCGCATCAAGTTGAGCTTGTCAAGCGCTGCATGCGTACGGAGAAGGGGGAGCACTGCGTTGTGGGTGCTTGCATCTTTCCAGGGTTCGTGAAGGTTATCAAGGAGGGCGCGGAGACGAATATATCGAGGCGGGCGCAGGTCATCTGCAATTGTGCTCTCATGCTTTCAGCTGGAGCGGGCGTGACGAATCCGCCTTCGCTGCCATCTACACCTTCAATAGGTTGATACCACCACCTTGACCCTCATGACTACCACTCGCTACGCACGTTTGTACCTTGTCCTGTTTTAATGATATCCCATCCAAGACGTATACATATTTGATGGAGGCATTGGATAAGCAAGCGCCGTGAAAGACTATGAAGCTCCCCGAAGAGAACTCTGGAGTGCGATGTATCTTACAAGCCACTAGCAGAAATCACGCCTTGCGGTAGAGGCTATCGATACCAAACTCATCACCCGTCCCGCGATCAAGAGTGTTGAAGGGGTCACGCGTGCTTCCTGTCTGCTGTCGCCACAGCTGTGTGTAAACACCCTTCAATCGTTGTAGGTCCGCATCGATGCCAGCAACGCGCTCGGCGAGAGCGAGGAAGGATGAGTTCTGTGCCTCAAGTGTCGCCACAATAACTAGGTGAAGGGGTCAATTCAGAAGAGCACATACATCGATACGAATGGTACTGACTTTGAGGTGTGAATTGAGCAGCTTGGGCGCTGGATGTGAGCTTGCGCTCGATTTGCTGTAGGCATGTAAGCCACTGATCATCAAGCCGAGTCGGGATGGACATACTTCAAGCGTAGCCTTATACCACTGCAATCGCTCACGCATCTCATCAGTTATCCGCGAGAAGTACCTATGCAAGATCATAAGCAAGCGTTCTAGCGCATCGGGCGAAAGAAGACAGCGACAGTCGGCGATCGGTCTCCCTCGGACAGGGACAGCGGAAGCAGGGACGAGGTACAGGGAATGTGCGGGGCCGGCGGGATGGGAAGGGACCCAACAGTCAGGTACATATGTGTAAAGGGGTGGTACGTACTCGAAGGGGAAACCAGCCCGCGTCTTCAGGTGCGCGCCATGCTGCTGGGGATTGCGGAAACCGTCGATAATCTGGGTAGCCGCGATGGTGTCCTGTACAGTCTGGTCAACGCGAGCACGCAGCTCGCGCGTACTTGTGATATCGGTTTGTAATGTTGCCACGACGTTCGCCATGTCCTATCATGCACCGGTCAGCGTAGTTTAGCCACAACGTGCCAAAAAGTGCATACCTTGTGAACGGAACGGATAGTGTCTTGCCCTTTCGCTGCCTCCTCGCCGAGTTTGCGCTGTTTGAGTTCATTGCCGATTTGTACACGCCCCTGGATATGCGCCCTGAAGGCAATACTACGTGAGCCAGAGCGCTTGTGGGTGGGCGACAGCGATGTACTCAATATCTTCGAAAGTTTTCTTCAACGCGTCCGGTAGATCGTTGAACTTGGTAGCCTTCACAAATGGCGGCGGCCCGCTGGTTGGCGTCGCCATCTGGACAGACGGTGCTGAGGCCATGGTCGAGGCACTATACGGCGATGAGCACGTTCACTACTGCATCCAGTTATCACTCTGGAGACGCCACACACCCAAAGCTGTGAGAATGGCGACATGTCAATTAGTTTAATGAACTACAGCGGCACCGAAGCGGGTACTCACAGACCCGGCTTCTGTTGCGACTGGCCAAATGCTGAGGTGCCGCCAAAGGCAGATCTAATCCATCGTGAGTATTGCTTCAGACGAGAAGTCGGTGTACGAACGTTTGTTGAGGCTGAGACTGTCCAAAAAGACCTCCGCCGCCGGTGACCGTACTTTTGTTGCCAAATAGTCCGCCTCCTGCATTGGTGCCATTTGTTGAACCAAAAATACCACCGGTATTCGCATTTGTGTTGTTAGAGGCCCCGAATAGTCCGGTGCCAGCGCCAGTGCCGGCGTTGTTGTTTGTCGACCCAAAGAGGCCAGTGCCCGCGCCTCCAGCATTGTTGCCAGTATTCGCGGTATTCGAGCCGAATAAGCCGCCGCCAGCGTTCGTGTTCGCGTTCGTAGACCCGAAAAGACCTGTACCCGTTCCCGAACCCGCTGTCGCGTTGTTGGACCCAAACATCCCAGTACCATTGGACGCATTGTTTGTGTTTGTTGCGCCGAAAAGTCCAGTGTTGGCCCCTGCCGCAGCGTTGTTTTGGCCAAACAGACCACCACCTGATCCTGCCGCGTTCATGTTTGCACCAGTGTTACTACCACCGAAGAACCCACCTGCGGCCGGCTGCGACTGCGTGCTTGTTTGGCCAAAGGTCGACGTCGGCTGTTGTTGTTGTTGTTGTTGCTGGTTGCCGCCGCCAAAGACGGATCCAGACTGTTGGCCTCCACCAAACAGCGATGGCGTGCTATTCTGCTGAGGAGCGGCTCCGAAGACGGACATCCTGTGAACCGAGGAGATGTGATCAGTACGGTATCGGGTAATGATTTCACGCGAAAGATAGGTGCAAGAGGTGACGACATAATGGGATTGGCACAATCGTGTATCCGGCGTGCGCAAAGTGGTCACCAGAGCCAACATTAACTACTTGAGCACATGAACAGGGAGTAAGGAGGCGATAACCACTGCCACAATGTTCGGGTATGAGGGTATTCGAAGGGCGGGGCGCCCGATACGGGTCCATGTGGCAGTCTATTCCAGTCAAGACCCTCTGAAGCAAAGGAGCGTTCTCGGTTTAGAACTGCACGCCCACACGTGTCGCAGTCCAGGCGATTGGCTTCTGTGGTGTCATACGAAGCTCGCGAGAAGGTCAGAGGGAGACGTCGCCGCTCCTCAAGTACCATCGGAATTCCCAGCGGCACAGACGCCACATAGGCAAAGGTGAGAAGACAACATGGGCCGTTTCTTTGTTCGGCTGGCAATGCATGGCAGACACCTTCGAGCCCGCGCGTACACAAGTACAGTCACTCACGTGCTAGGTTACTCGTTATCTGGAGCTGCCAAGGCCACTGAGATTGGATATATGTTTCGGGTATACAGACATACCTCTGTGGGTAGTTTGATGGTACAGACGCAATCTACCGTCAGAAAACAGGGTGGTGGTTGGGAACAACCGCCGTCGGACGCGTCCGTGCGCGTGTATTTGGAACTCACGTGCCTACCGCGCGCGCCAGCAGTTCAATACCGTCTGCTGTTGTTGTTCGTCTTCACCTTCGATGTCGTACACGAAAGCATTGTTGAACGCACACGCGTGTCAAACGCGTCGTCTCTATGTGGATCTACCAACCCAAAACCCAGTGCGCTTACAAAGCTATGGATACTCAAGGTGGCGACCGCTATTTGCGCGTCTATTGTTCTCCCACAAGCTCAAGAAGCACAGTTACATTCTCCGCCCGCCGTCTCCACCTAGTTACGTTCAAACGTTGTCCCAACCCGGAGACAGGAAGTGTGGGTCTGCAGATGGCCGACAGGAACGATCGAGCGCGCATGCGCCGTCCGCCGTTCCGAACTTGGGACGGGCGTGCTGCATGTCCTGCGCGCCACATGGAACCCTCCTGCGGTGCATATGTGGAAGTACTTAGCTCACGGCCTTCATCCCTCTGCGAATGTTCCGCATGCACCCCGTCGGTTGCGTTGCCCTTCATCCCACTGTCCGTGTGTGCTTGGTCGAGCGGTCGACATCGAGCCGCAATTTGCGCCAGGCGCTGCCCGACTATAAACCCGGGTTCCGTACTCTGCTTCTGAAGTGCCTGCGCCTTGTCTGGTGTTTGCCTCCTTGACAGTCCCATGTCTACGAGCATTCGACCTTCTTATGACTCACGTAGTTCACTTCGGCAATCGGCCTGGTCGCTGCCGACTTACAATTCTCGTGCACCCTCAGCCGAGCGCCCACAGGCTCAACGAGGCGGCGAGCACACATACACATTGGGCAGCTCTACCAATAGACCATGGCTGACACTGTCAATGGCGTCTCGATCTCCCGACAAAAACCTTCTGCCATTGTTCTATGAGGGCGATATAGTCACTGGCACCGTTTCGGTCGATCTCAAGTCGAAAGAGCCCATCCGAGAAATTTCAGTCACGGTGATTACCCCGCCCACATTCATTACTGCGGTAGCGTCTGACTGGTGGGGTCTAGCTTCAAGGACTCATATTGGGCGCCGGACAGGACCTCGAGCCTTACACCTTTCTCAGCGTTCCGGAGACGTTATGGGCGCAGACAAACGGCAAGATTTCGGGAACATACTCTTGGACGTTTTCTATCAACATACCACGCGAGGTCGTCATCCCTGGGAACGCTCAGACGCCCCCGAGGTCCTACCCGCTACCGCCCCGATTTTCTGAGCGCGGGTCTCAAGCGCACATTGACTATCGCATTGTAGTCTCTGTTCGGCGCCGGAGATTCTCCGCAGACAGCACGTACGCTTTCAGATCCTTCCATGCTCACATGGCGATTGACCACGCCGAATATCAGATTATTCACGCCCATCGTATACTTGCCATATTCCATAGCTGGTGTCCCTTCCCTCAAGAGGCAAGCGGCCTATCGCGCTGGTGTACTCCCTCCAGGACCCAGAGCCGATCCAGAGGGCTGGAAGATTCTTCCAAGTTGTGAGACGATAGGGAAGCTCTTGTCCACGCGGTCTGTATCTACATCGATACATTGCAGGGTAAGTTCTGAACCGCGACTCATGGTACTCGAGCGGCTGACTCGGGACTTCGGACAATCACAGCTTGCCATTGCGATGCCGGTACGCATCAATTCCCTCGTCCAAGCGCCATGCAATGTGAACGCTCATTCATGATGCAGCTATCATATGCTGCGAGTACCTGCATACCTATACATGTCTCGCTACGAACGGGAGAGCCTCATGTGGCTGAACTGCTCACACGGGATTCAATACTAGTTCAGCTCGTGCGTAAACTGGACATACAAGATTTCACGGCTACGCGGCGCAGCATGTCCTTCCACGACGTCATGAGTGAAGGCGTGTTTTGGCCGGCCCCGGACGATCGTACCGCACCTGGGGAGCGACATTTCTTCGGCGAGATCCCTCTGCGGAAGAAGCTCACCTCAAGTTTCGATTTCTCAAAACTATCCGTAAATGTGCCGTCCATCCTATTTGCTTGTCGAATGCACTGGCTGACGGGTCATCACAGTATAAGGTCGCTCTATTCCCTGTTCGTGCACCTCAATACACGGTTGCCTCGCCCGACGAGCCGCTTCTCAGCGAGCCGATCGAGATTACACTCAGAAACCCCCATGGCATCTCCCCACGCTCATACTCTCCACCAGAATCACCTCTATCTTCCGGTCTCAGTCCCTATCACCGCGACGCCTCGCGTCGCTACGAGCGCTCATCATACCTCGGATTCCCTTCTGTAGGAGGCTTCGATTGACGCTCTCTGCACATGCTCTGTATACACACCCGCTCTGAACCCCCGTACACTGTAGCTAGCACTATTTGTCCCAGAACACGGTATTTCTGCTTTCGGCCCACCTCCACCCCTACGATCTACGAGTTTACTACGCACATCACAGTCGGTATCAATCACACTACATGTATCCGTATATTTTCACGTTTGGCCACCTTCCTCTTCGGCGTCATCCCGTACAATTCACACCAATGTGGGAATATCTTTATTCAGTTCTCAATCGGGGACCCCGCCGAGTGCGCATCACAGTCGACCCTCAATTCCTACGCGACGGTACATATGTTATGACAGGCATCGCCTTCAAGTTCTCCTACGAGCATCGTTACAGCATCACTCAGCATCAACGCTTCACGTGGGCGCATCTATAGCAGTAGGTAATACAACATCCATGCAGTGTGAAGCTTACGCTGCAGGCTACACAAGGGAAGAAGACATCAATCATGCATGCTTCAATGCGGTAACCGGAGCTGAGTCTGCGGCAAAGGCATCGCGACGGGCCTCAGCGGTGATGAACGCTTCGCACTCTTTTCTACTCTTGTCCATGTTGACAAAGAAAAGGAAGATGGAGCTGAAACACCCGAGGGCGAATAGGAATGCGAAGGGCATGTTGTTGTTATTCCCAGAGGCGGTGATGATCGCTTCGGAGACGAACGGCCCGATGAACGCGCTGGTCTTCCCGATGACAGAGAACAGCGCGAAGAATAGGAACCTGGGAACGATGGTCAACGATATGCACTCAGTGATAAGAGATCGGACATACATCTGAGGGAGAGGAGAGACCTCTGCGATCATCGTCTGGCTGTAGGCATACCAGGGACAAACTAGCAGGCCATAGAACGCCTGATAGGCCCAGATTTCGCCTACATGCTTGAAGCCAATCTTATCCGTGTGTACGCCGGCAAGACCCCATATCGTCAGGACGAGAATCCAGAAAACAACGAACAGAAGCATCTACTCGAGAGGTGAGTACTATGGTGGAGGAGCTAGATACGGACACCCACATTCTTCGTCGATATTTGGTATCGCTTCTGTACAAACCAGAACATGTATATCCCTGCTGCCTGCGTTGCGATACCGACAATCAGGAGATATGTGAGTTGCAGAGTCGAATAGGACACGACGCTGTTCTGAAGAGTCCCGATGACCGTACTAGACGACCGTTCAGTAAGGTTTGCAGAGGCTACGACTGCGAGAGGAAACATACACCGTCGTGTTGAGAACATCGCCCATCAGGAAGTAAAAGATGAGGTACAGGAATGTTTGCTTGAGCCTCATGCACTCCCGGAAAGCGACGTATGTCTGCTTGAGGCCGACGGTAAGGAAGGAAGTCCCAGGCGGCAATGCAAGTCCTGGACGGCGTTTCTCGAAGATGAACCACGGGAGCGCGCACAAGACTAGCGCAAATATGAGTAAAATGGTCATCTAACGGGATGCAATACACGCACGCCATACGCCTCCGGAGAAAGCGATCAAAACACTGAATGACTTCGTGTTATTTTCCGTAGACTGGTCACTCTTGAGGCCTTGAGTAAGAGGTCAGCGCTTGACTCGGTGATATGCCGATAGAGATATGCCTTTCAGGATCCCCACCATTATCGCCAAGATGACAATTTCGCCGACTGAGCAAACGGCAAACGAGATGTTGCTGATGCGGTTGCGATGCATCGATTCAAGCTTGGCATGTTCGTCCTCCCTGTATATCCCGAATTAGTACTCTGATGGGCACTTAGGTGAATCCCGTACGTCTTAATGTCAGACTCAACTTCCTGAGCCGACTCGATCACTTCCGGGACGTTGCGCGCAAGGCCGGGGAAAGCGGCTGTCCAGAAGGTCAAAGAGCACTGTTTTACGGAGGTTGAGTCTAGGTTCGGAAACCTGCGAAGGGTGAAGACCGACTTGATAGGCGATCACTGGTGGCGCCGGTCAGTCCAAGATTGAACCAAACAACAAGGCTGTGCTTACATCCTAGGATGTATAGTGCCACACCCGCCTTCCATTTTGACGGATCTTCAACGCCAAGCCAAGCGAACGACACTGCGACAGCGAGGATCGTGAAAAAGATAGTGATATTGGGCCTAGCATCCGAGTCATCAGTACTCGCGGTCCGGGGAATGTCGGTGAAGCTGCCACACCTCCAAGTCCCGTAGTCAGCCCAGGCACCGATGATCAGGAGAATGACCGCTTGAAGTGCGAACGCGATGCCATCTGAATGGCCAGGCAGTCAGCATCTCCAGATTATCTCAAGCACATCGCATGTAGGCGCACTAGTGACGAGGACGATCGAGTTGACTGCGTTACACGGGTGAGCTAGGCAGGCCTGGGCAAACAACAAAGTGGAGCGCTCACCATCGCGTATTCGACCGAGATAAGGCAAAACACAGTCGCCGTCTTCGCATGCCTGAGTGAATGCAGGGAACGCTGGGTCGTAGCCAGCGAGGTAGAGTAGGTTTTGGAACTTGACGGCCAGGTCTTAGCCTGCCGTGTATGCAATAGTCACGAGTATATGGGCGCACCTGACTGGGACCGAAGTTGAATCCTGATAACCTGATTACTCAATCAGCATTAGGTGCGACATTTGGCCGAGGGAGGACAAGGTGTTGAGCGCGCGTCGGAACGTCGAAGTCGCTTACCCATTATTACCCTGTCTCGACGGTTAACAGTCATGCACAACATGAAGAGACCAATGTTATACGCACAATATAATACAGGTAGAAGCACCAGAGCTCCTTCCGCGACGTGACCCATTGAACAGTAGACGACGCGAGCGTTGGTGCCTCGACATCCCTGACGTCGGTCGCACTCGTCTTTTCAGGCTCATCCACTTGTTTTTCGGACATGACAGTACCGCCTGGACGTGAACGTGGAGGTCAAGGAGAGAGCCTCTGACGTTGAGTTGTGGCTCGTCCATTTTTGCTTGACAGAGGGGAGCCCATCTGATGGTGACCGCGCGGAAAGAGTTGAAAATACCGGCAGCGCGCTTGCCTCCGCACCACCATGCTGCCCGGCGTACACCTCCCATCTCCCAGGAATGACATTCATGGTGCACGATGATAGCGACGTCTCTCATATATGCGATGCGAAGATACCAAGACCAGGCCCTGAACTCATATATCGGCTCCGCGCTCAGCTTATCTCTCAAAGTGGGTCATCGTCGGTGGAGAGGCGGATGGAGGCTCTGCTCGGGTTATATGTCCGAAACACAGCTTAATGTGGTTAGGCGGGAGAAAGAAGTAACTTGCGTTACCAAACTCCCATGTAGTCTGGTGCTCGGGCGCGTTCGCCACTTCGAGAGCATGCAACAATGGCATTCCGTCGACCATGCCGCCGGACAGATCGAGCGGAATGCTATAAATCACAATCGAGGCCAGCGCCATTGGTTTCCCCACAGGTCACTTTGGGGGTCCTCAGGTCCCGCTCGTGATGTCCTTGGGCGCGCTTATCTCAAGCTTCGATGATAAGGCCACGGACGAGCCTGTATAAAGTCGCAGGCTGATCCGACTGAGCCTCGAGCGAGCAATCCATTCTGCCATGGCTGTTGGGTACGAGCTTCTGAAGCAAGACGACCAGCAACCGGCCGCTGTGCCGCGCCGCGGTCTCTCTGGCCGTCGCGTCGCACTCAGTGGCGCTCTCATTCTCAGCGCCGTCCTTCTTTCGGTATTCTATGCTTTCCCGCCGCACACGACGCCGGCAGAGCTGGCTGTTGCTGGCACCAGCGACTCGACTGGCTTGTTCGCAGAGGATGGCTCGAGTATACAGCAATGCTCAGCCAACATCCCCTTGCCGGCGAAGCCTCCTGCGCCCGTGAACATCTGGGCTCCGTTGACCGTACCCGAAACCACGGAGATTTATGAATGGATGCATGCTCCCGCACGCGGCTTCAATCTCACGCACGTCCAGACCGCATCGCTCTCAGACAACGTGCTCTACCACATCGAGGCGTTCCGTCCGACCAAGGCGGACGCCCTGGCCTACCTCAACGAACCCACGGACGATAAGCTTCCTGCCCGCTACGCACGCGTTAACATTCAGCACGGCACGACACCTTCCATCCGCGACTACCTTGTGGGCCCACTGCCTATCAGCGCCACTACATCTGTGGTACCACTCACAGAACACAACCACCTTCCTGGGGGCGAGATCCCGTTCAACGCGCGCGGCTTCCTCGGCGTTGGCGAACTGCGTCCTCTGCTTGAGAAGATCTGCACGCCCGAGTTCGCAGTCGTCACTCAAGTGAGACTACTGCGCCTCTTCCGCAGCGTTCAGCGCCTGACTACGTCCTCAGGATCTCTTCGGTGGCTTTGCGCTTGGCCGCGAGAATGATACGCTCATGGCTGGTATGAACGCGCCGATGAGCTTCGATGGTTCTTTCCGTCGCGCCTGGTTATCCTGGAAGCGCAACGTTCCCGCACCGTGGTTGCATCCCGTCGCATTCTGGCAGTAAGTTGGTAGTCTTTGTGCGCCTGTACACTTTCTGATCCCAATTGCGCAGATATGTTGACATCTCCGGTACCGATCCTTCGCAGTGGAAGATTCTGAAGGTATGGTGTTGTTTTGCTCCTCTAGGGTCGTCTCTAACTCGAGCAATTCCAGGTCGTATACAACCGACAGATCTTCGCTTCTATTCCCGAATTCATCGATGCTTACCATAACGGTACGCTGAAGCGTCTGCCGCCGCGTCCCGAGCAAGACGACCCGTCATGGTCTACGCGCAAGCCGCCTTCGATGGCAAACAAGCAGCGCGACCTCGACTGGCTTCCGGGTCCTCGCTCCGTCTCGTTCGCCGGCCTTCGTTTCCGGGTCGACTACGCAACGCAGTACATCTCGTGGCTTGGTTGGGGCATGTACTTCGGCTTCGATCGCGACATGGGTCTCTCCCTTTGGGACATTCGTTTCCGCGGCGAGCGTATCATCTACGAGCTTGCACCCCAGGAGGCTATGGCGCAGTACGCCGGCGATGACCCAATGCAGGCTACGACGGCCTGGCTCGATCGTTTCTTTGGTATGGGCGCTGCTGTCCGCGACATGATCCCCGGCTACGACTGTCCTGATGAGGCTGTTTACCTCCCGGCGACGACGTTCACGCTCGAAGGCTCCATCAAGCGCACGCGCGCCATCTGTGTGTTTGAGAGCGACACGCATAAGCCTATCACCCGCCATACCGGATTCCATCAGGACGAGATGGGCGCCGTCAAGGGCTTCGTGCTCACCGTCCGCTCTATCGCCACGGTCGGCAACTATGACTACCGTAAGCCACGATTGAGCCTCGCCGTGTCCGACAATCGCTGACTCCGTGCAGTCTTTGACTATATGTTCCATATCGATGGTACAATCGAGGTTCGCTTGTCCGCTTCCGGTTACCTGCAAGGTGGTTTCTGGGAGAAGCGCCAGGAAGGTTACGGCGCACCCATCCAGACCACGTCCAGTGCGCCCGTTTTTTTCTCTCTCAAAGTTTCTCTGGATCTAACGTCGTCAAAGTGGGCTCGCTGCATGATCACGTTATCAACTACAAGGTCGATCTCGACGTTGTTGGCGAGGCCAACTCGCTGCTCGCGACTACCACCCACGTCGAGAAGGTCGAGCACCCGTGGCTTGACGAAGACTGGGGCCGTGAGGTCACCCAGCAGAAGATCAGCCGCGACTACATCGAGACCGAGGACGATGCGCTCTTGTTTTACCCCAAGAACTTCCAGGGTGGTTACTCCATCGTCAACAAGGACGAGAAGAACAAGTGGGGCATCCCGCGCGGCTATGCCGTGCATCCAGGCTACTCGCCTATTCACAACGTGCGTTTGTTCTGTAGCTGGGTGTGTTCGCACGGGTGCTAACGCCGCCCGCAGACTGTCGTTGGATCGAAGCGCCTGCTAAACAACGCCAACTGGGCGCGCTACAACCTCGCTGTCTCTGCGCGCAAAGAGACTGAGCGCACGTCATCTTCTATGTACAACATGCATCTCCCTGGGACACCGCCCGTCGACTTCCACAAGTTTTTCGATGGCGACTCGCTCACGCAGACCGATCTCGTCGCCTGGATCAACGTTGGCACGCACCACCTGCCGCAGGCCGAGGACTCCCCCAACACACGCACGAACGTTGCCACTTCTTCTTTCATGCTCACGCCGCTCAATTACTTTGATGCGGATGTCAGTATGGAAAGTAGAAACGCTATCGTTCTTAACGGGCCGGTCACGCCCGGTGCGCCGTACATCTTCGACGACTTCGGAGTTAAGCCTGCCCACTGTTTGCCACAGCCGGTCCCTGCGTTCGAGTACTCCGGCCTGACCGCCTTCGGCCTTGACGGCAAGAAGGCGCCTCCAGCTGAGCAAGAGGAACTCCGCAAACAGGCTGAGCTGTTCCACCGGATCAAGATCGAGATTTGAAGGACGTCGTAGTACAGCGCTCATGTACGCCTAAATCATTGTACGAGTACATTCTATGCATTCTATGGACTCTACCAGACTGTCAGCGCTCTCGCCTGTCATGTAACGTCATGCCTCCCATCTAGTGACCCTCGTTACGAGTCGTGTGGCGTGGTCGAGGATGGGTTACCGTTGAGGACCTTCTTGCGGCCGCGGCCGGGCCGAAGCGCCGCAGGGCCTACGCGCGCGTCGGAATTGCTCTTGGAAGTGCACCGCCATCATCTCCTGATGCTGGTCTCTTATTCCTGACCCTATGCAGTCGATAGCTCTTACTGCTGGCATATCTATCGCATAATACCGTTGTTCTGCACGGCAAGGTCTGAGGTTGTGATTATTACAGCGAATGGCCAACTTCAGTCGTCTGGACCAGTTCATGAGACACTTACAGTTCTCCGCGTAATATGGCCTAGGTCTTAAGACATTCTGGTCCAAGACACTCAGACGCACTGGCTGTCGAGCGTTCATGCACTATCAATCCTGCTCTCGCTACGAGACCTTAGCATTCGGTTCTGGACTGGATATACCGTATTAAAGGTCTTCTTTCCTTGACAGTGGCTCTTCGGCTTGTTCTTTCATCTTTCATCCTCTAGCGCCGGCGCTTTTTTCTTCGCCCTTCCTTCGGATATGCCTGTTCCTTCGATTAGCGCAACTCAGCAGGCTCTGGTTGGCCAAACTATCGACAACGGATCTCTTCGCCTTCTCGACATCCTCGGCTGTGGCGGTTTCGGAGCCGTCTTCCGTGCCATCGCTCCCAAAAGTCGTGGAACAAGCGCGACTCGTGTCTTCGCCGTGAAGGTCATAGCAAAGAAGTCTGGCGAACGTGGTCACGAGCAGATGCGCGAACTCGCCTATCACAAGCGCGTCTCCAGCCACCCAAACATCGCCACGCTCCATCGTCACTTCAAAGACTCAACTTTCATCTACGTTGTCCTCGAAGCCGTTCTCGGTGGAGATCTCTTCACCGCTGTTGTCGACAAGGCGCTCTTCTTCTATGACGAAGGTCTTACAAAGAAGATCTTCGTTCAGATCCTCGATGCCGTTGCATGGTGCCATTCACGAGGCGTCTACCACCGCGACCTCAAGCCGGAAAACGTACTCTTGTCAGCGAACGGTCTTCATGCCTACTTAACCGACTTTGGTCTGGCTACCGAGAACAAGTTCAGTAGCACATTTGGGGTGGGAAGTAGAGCATACATGAGTCCTCGTGCGTCTCACTACATCTCGCCCTTTATCACGCCGCTAACCTCACATGACAGAGGTTATCAACGAGGATATGGACGAATACGACTATTCCACGCCCCATAATGACATCTGGGCTCTTGGCTGCATCTTCATGAACATGCTGGCCGGCTGCGGCCTTTGGAAGCGCGCCGTGCTCGCAGACAGAAGCTTCATGCTGTTCCTGAACGACCCCGACTTTCTACACGAAGCTCTACCCATCACAAAATCTGCTGGCGGCATTCTCCGCCGTGTCTTCACTATGGACACTGCCAAACGCATATCTCTCGCCGAGCTTCGCACAGCCGTCCTGGAGATCGATCGCCTCTACCTTACCCCTGAAGAACTCGAACTTGCGACGGAGGAAGTTCAGGAAATTGCAGACCGTGCTATTCAACTTCGTATTGCTGCGATGGAGAGCGAGACCGACTACAACTCCTATATCGGGTCTTCGCGGTCGCGTGCCAGCTTCGGAAAGTCGCAGTGTATAGATGGCCCTACTCTGGTCAACGCATCGCCTTCTCCTGGACCACCCACTGTGGCACCTCCTTCTCACCCGTCAGCAATCTCTAAGATCGGCCGGCCGGCCAGCATAACGGGCGCTACCCAATCTTGTCTTGCGCCACCGTCCCTGGTTCCTGCGCTCCTTGCCTCCCAATGTCTCATACCAAACGTGGTACATTCGGTCTTGGATTCCGCGTCCAGCATCTCGTCGACGCCGTCAACACCCTCTGAAACGACCTCAAGCGCGCCTATCACTCCGGAAACCCACGCCGTTGCTGATGCTCATGTCACGTCTGGGAACCGCTCGATGGAGGATCTTGCCCTGCCGCCGTCGGCAGCTTGCGATGGGGTCATCACTTCGGCTTTTAAGTTGGACGACCCCATACCGAAGAAGGCACGTCAGGATGCGGATGACTTCATGAGTCGAATTCTGCATGAGCTTCGTGAATAGGTGGACGTTACTCTCGCTCTTGTGCGCGGCTGCTTGCGTTACACGAAAGTCTCAATGTCGCATTGCCAATTACGTATATGTATATCCTGCATCACCAGAACGTCTTCGAACGATGATACACACTTTGGTGCATTTGGTATAGTTGGTCGTGCATTGCATCCCTTTCAAGGCCTTGTATTCCGTCAGAAAACGACAAGCTTGTTGACCAGCGCATCCTTGCTCAAGATCTGCTCCTTCAACTGCTGAACTTCGCCAAGGTCTTTGTTGGCATCGACGAAGCTAATGTGCGGTACGATATCAGACAGATGGTTACAAGGAGCATGTCGAGACGTACCGTCCGCTCAACCAGTCGTATTGACCAGACGTCAGGGCTAGAATCGTGGCCGCGGCCAACTCCGGCGTATCGACAAAGAACTGCTCCGGCATGCCCGAATTCTACACCCACTACGTCAGTGTCGTAGATCACCGGATAGTATGAAGAGCCCACCTTAGCCATGTCCGTCAAGACCGCGCCAGGGTGAAGACTGAAAGTCTTGACACTCCCAGAATACTCTGCAAAGGCAGGATTGTGGTGAGCCAGATGCAACGACGTTACCTCTCACTGACTCACCAAGGTCTACGAATTCGAGTAAACGATTGAGTGCGAACTTGCTGACGCCTGACCTTGTCGCTTAGATTCACGATTACTCAAGTTCTCAGGTGATGGGACGAACCGTAGTCAGAGGAACTATAGAGGCGAGTCTGGGCGGCGATGGAACTCATCCCAATCACGTAACCGTTCGTCTTCTTGAGATGTTCAAGCGCAGGGCTGTTTGGTTCATGTTAGGAAAGTAGAGACACGTCGATGAGATGAAAGGTCTACCTTACAAAGTTTAGGGTCCCTAGCAGGTTCACTTCCAAGGTCTTCCACCATTGCGTAACATCACGGTTCCCGAGGACTTGACGAGGTGCACGTGAGTCTACATCGCTATCATTGAGATTGCTTTCCCCAACTCACCAGTACCGTCAGGCGGGATGGATATGCCTGCATTAGGAATGACAATGTCGAGCCTGCCAAAGTGGTCTACCGTGTCCTGCACGATCTTTGCAGCAGCTTGTGTGTCCGTTACATCTACGGCAAACGTGAGGACCTCGGCGCCCGATTCTTCCTGCTGAATCTGCTTCTTGACAGCGTCGAGATTGGATGCACTGCGCGCCACCAGCGCAAGCTTCGCGCCTGCACGCGCAAAGAAAGAGGCCATTACCGGCCCGAGGCCTCTTGACGCGCCGGTGATCAGAACAGCCTTGCCCTTGAACGACTGGTTACTAAAGGCGGCCTCTGGAGCGATGGCCGGGTAGACACTGTATTGTCTTCAGCTTCTGCACAGCCATACGATTCCAAACCAAACGTACTCGTGGCGCTCTGTCACACCTTGTAGCCTCTCATTCATACCCTTTGTCTCGCCAACCAGCTTGAGAAAGTTCTCCATTTGCGACATGGTCAGCGTCAATACGCGGTGTTCGGTGATTAGAAGTAGAGCCTGAGCGTTGTAGAGCAAGCCGCTACCATCGCTTGGTCAGTGCCTTATATGCTTCCCCGCGCGGAAATACCGCAATCGTAGATACGAAGGTGTGTAAGCACGGGGCACTCGCCGCCCTTAGGAGATATGATATGGGAGGTTGTATGCAACGCCTGCGGCAAGCATGAGGCCCAATTCCCGAGGACTGATTTCGAAAGCTCGTTGCGTTATGGCAAGGACCAAGATGCTCCTCCTTAAAGCCCGATCGCCGTCTATTTGTAAGACATACTAGCTAACACCGAGCCCTTGGAAGGAGATACGACGAAGTCTTGTCAGTCGGTTGACGCTGTTCGCCGAGCCGCGGCCGAGGCGTGTCCATTCACGAAGAACATCCTTCAGAGCGAGGCAGCTCAAAGAAGATACTATGGGTATGTGAGCCATGACAATTCAGAAACACGACGGGGGACCAAGTATCCTGGTGAACGGATGTCCGAGACAAACTCCGTCGGTAAGTCGGCGAGCTTGATGACGCGACACCGGCTAACGCCGTGATCAATTGATTCCATCATTGAGCTTGTAAGCCGTTTCGTCTCTGCGCCGAGCCGATAAACCCGAGTATAAGATCAAACACTTCACTACGCACTTGCGCTCACCATTCATATGCATGATACTCAAGCTCGAGTGACTTCTAGGTAAGTTAGCTGTGTACGCCATCCAGAACTCGAACAAGGTCTGGGCAGAACTCACCACTGCTAGACGGCCGATCGACGAACGGAGTTAAGAGAACCTATCGAAATATGATCCCAAACGTGCGACCGTTGACCGTTAGAATATCGAGCAGCATGTTATTTGCCATATGGTACAGTAGGTTACAAGACAGAATATTCCTTCTTCCATATCGTAAAAGTACAGTGCGCGCGGATGCGAGATATCAGTGCGAGTAGGTACAGATGTAGCAGATCATGGGACAGAGCGTCCGAGTACAGGTCGAGTCGCACATATATAGATCACCCCGAACTTCAATAGTTGGCTCAGGGTTGATTGCAAGGAGTCGCGGCTGAATGGAGAGGCATGGAAGCCTGCCGAAGACGGGTTCGCGCATTGAGCCAAGGAGGATATTCGTCTCCGACGATTCAATTAAAGCCGTCGAAGTGGCCTTTGAGCATACGCTCGCCCATAGGTGAAGGGGCACGACGGGGGCTGGCTTCGGGTGCGCCGAGCAGAGTCGCCCGCCTACCGACACGGCCGCTCGGCTTTGAGGCGAAACCAGTTTCGCGAGGGAAAGATCCAGAAGCTGATGGCGGAGGGGTCATAGGGCGAGCAGTGGGCGAGTTATCAGGAGGTGCCGCTCCTCCAGGAAGGACAGGCTATGCATAGCGACGGTATAATGAGTATGGAAGCGTCACGAGTTGGCACGGAAGCAACTCACCCTGCCAAAACCAGTGCTTAGGGAGAGGCGACGCATAATACCTCCGCGCGCAGCGTGCTCCGGGATGGGCTGCACGAAATTCGGAGGCGACGCCTGTGGAGCGCGGGCATTGCCACCGGGCCACCCTGTAGTCGTCGCACGCCTGTGATGCCCATTTAGAGGGGCTGGCTCTTCCACCTCTTCGTCTGTGAGATAGAAGAGTTGATCAGAACCACTGCCAAGACAATACCACTTGATTGTGAGACACTCACCCTCAAATACGGGCGGGTTGCCCGCGATCCCGTCAAGCGGACGACGGAATGGAAGGGTGTTGCTTTTGGTTGTAGGAGAAGTGCTGGACATGAAATAGCTGAAGATAGGTGAAGTCGCAGAAGGAGAGGTGGCGATCTTGGGTGGGAATGCAGAAAGAGGAGACACCGGCGTCTGAAGGGGGGAAGCAGGCGAGCCCTCAGACGAAGTCGAAGTGGTAGACATGGCCCTGCGGCGGTTCTGGCTGTTGGGAATCGCCATGGGCTGCGAGTGAGGGCTGTTAGAACGAGCGGAAGACATTGGGAAAGTTAGATAACGGGTTCGAGTCGAGGCGGCAGAGCAGGGTGGTGGAGGCAAGAGGGAGACTCGATCAGCTTACCCCGCACTGCGCGCACTTATAGGCTATAGCTTCCGCCCACGTGTGAGGCTATCGAAGCGCCCAAACTGAATTCGAACTTGACTCCGACACTCCACTCGGCCACAGCTACACAACAATACGGCAGGCTGCTTGCCGCCCAACCTCTTACACGTCGTGTGCCGAGGATCAAGGCGTTCGCACCGTTGAACTTTTGGTCTAGCACCGTGGTGCCGGTCATGAACTTCGTTAGCCCCCAGTTGGCGTGGGATGAGGCGCCTCTACCTTTGATCTCGTCTCTTCATCCTCGCCTATAGCCGACGCAGATGACTTACCGATCGACCATTCGCGCCCAACTTCCGCCGACAAAATCGTCATCTACGCTGCCTAACTTTGACCACTGGGGAACGTACCATTCCAGGTTGGAAGCGAAAAGACCTCAACATGGCACTGCGTCGAAGTTGCCAAGCCCTAGAAACCCCGTTGCGTATCATCCAAGCTTCGTACGGAGCAGGGATGTATACTTGTGGCTGTAGGCTCGTCAGAGCTTGCTACGAGGGTGTGCACCATGCAGTGGCTGTCGTACCCCCAAACGTCGCCTCCAAGTCGCCTCCATTGCGTGCAGCTTTGTCACCCCTCGGAATCCGACTGAAGTTCAGAAGCACCCTTTAGGCAACTCTCCCTGTGCTCACAATGGATCTCTTGGAGGGCATGATCAGCCGACATGATCATCCGGGGTCGACGAAGACCCTTGCATCTTCGCAGCGCGGTGAGAAGCCTGTTCATTGGTTCTTCAATTGACTTCATGTTTGCGCTCAGGGTCACCGGGCCACTTCGAGGGCGGCGTCCGATGCGAACTCAGACAAACTCTATATGCTTTGGGAGGCGTAGCGTGGTTTACGCATCCGTTCGCGTCACAGCGTTCGCGTTGTATGGTAGTGTGTACGTGTATGTACACCACGCACTTCTCAATGAAAATGACTTTTTGCCCCGCCTCCCCGCTCTGCCTCCCGCTATGCACGTCACCGCATTCACGTCATGATCGATGTATACACTGATCCTCCGCGAGAATGCTGCGACCATCAACCGTTGAAGCGACCTGCAGTGTTCTCGAGTGATGCTCGAGGTCACTTTGTGGCGTCGAGACCGCGTGAGCAGAGAAAGAGAAGACGAACACGACCTTCATTCACAGGAGGAAGCAGACGAAGTACTTCTAGGTCACCCTCTCGCCGGCTCTAGACGCCTCCATGGGGTTAAGTATGGAAGCATGTTCTTACGCAGCCTGCGATTGTCGCGATGTGCGTCCAAAGCACTGATCACCATCGCTAGCGAAGCACTATGTACTTCGGATCCGCGGTTGTTCTTTGACCGCAATATGCGAAGAGCCGGACGCAGAGAAGCTCAGCAGCGTAGAGACCACCAAGCTGATACCTTTCGATCTTCCCAATCTGCCCGTGGAACACCGCCCTACACATCAGTACCTCCCCACCTAATACCGTATGAGAGCGCCAGATACTCTGGCGACCAAGTTGACCCTGATAATATCAGCGAGCGTATACTTACACGAGTCGGCGGAGTCAACATTGAGTGCAACAGAACTCAGGCGTGAGCGCACAATATGTGTATCGGAATGAAGGTGGAGGTACTACAAAGTTAACAAAGAAGGACACGTCTGACAGCTCTATGGGTATAGTCTATGGTCTACTTTCCGTTCATTCACGATGATTCTTCACTCCACTTCTTGTAGCCGAGGTAGCCCTTCTCGCCCGATGCGTAGAAGTAAGGGCGCTCATAATGACGCAGCGGTAGGTTGAGACGCAAGCGTTCAGGTAGATCGGGCTATGCATCCCCTGTCAGCTCGTCCCCAATCTATATCATGAAGAAGAGAACTCACGTTTGACGTGTAGTGCCGACCAAAGGCCACGAGGACGTTCGGATGCTTGGCGGTAACCTCGAGCGCCGTCTCCCGCGTGAACCCACCAGCGGCAATGAACGGCCTATCGCCCCATGCCTCCCGAAAGACGTCGTTACCCTCCCCGGGCTTGAGCTCGCGTATCTGCTCCTTATCTACGCGCGGCTCTGTGAAGTGTACGTACGCCATCTTCGGATGCCGTTCTGCAAGTTGCCTGAGAACGTATGTATATACAGGGATGGGGTCGCTCTTATTCTCGTCTAGACCAGTTAGATTAGTTGCGTGTAAGAATGAGATGTCCCAGAAGACTGACTGAGGTTGGTAGGCCAAGGCGAGAAGCGAATGCCGACGCGGTCTTCGCCGATAGCATCAGATACCGCGTCGACAAGCTCAAGCACGAAGCGCGCCATGTTCTCGACCGAGCCACCATACTCATCCGTACGGTTATTCGACGAATCCTTGAGGAACTGCTCGATGAGGAAGCCGTGCGCCCCATGCAGTTCAACACCATCGAAGCCGGCACCTTCGACAGCATTGCGCGCCGCCGTAGCGAAGTCGATTATGTACTCCTTGATCTCTGGGATAGTGAGGGCGCGGGGGCGAGGTCCATTAGGACGGTCGCCCATGGGGATGTCGCCAGCACCGATGTATGGGTAGTCACCCAGAAGGTCAGGGAACGATACGCGACCGAGTGCAACGCTATCATACATTTAGCGACTGGCGGTTGGGTCCATCACGTCTGATGCCACGTACATTTGCAAGTAGATGTATCCGCCTTTGGCATGAACTACGTCAACGGACTGAACGAGCACACATCAGTATCGTCCAACTCAATGTGCAGATGAGTCTCACCTTCTTCCAGCCTGCAATCTGGTCTTCGCGCCAGATACCTGGGTTACCAAGGGGGAAACCAGCAGCACGTGCGGCCATGAAGGTGGCTTCGCCGATATAGAACGCTCCAGGTTCAGCCCGCTCAGCCATATACTTGGCCATAAGGTCTGTCGCAACATTGTCCGGCGTCGCACGAGAGCGAGTACAAGGGGCATGAACGACGCGATGGGCTAGGTTCATCCGACCTACGCGGATAGGTTGAAATAAAGCAGGAGTTTCGATGACCATTGCTGAGAGTGACGAGGGGGGCTTAGAGGAAGTCCCTTCTATCGGCTAGGCCGCCTTTTAAAGAGTTTCGGTCGGGGTATCGGGATATGTCTAGATAGCACGGTAAGCTGCTCGCTCTTAAGTACAGTCATCGACGGAACTTACGCTCTCTCGACCGATTTACGAGCCGATCGGTGTTATGCGCTTACAGCAGCACACGTCGGAGACATTCACAGGTCATGTATAGACTTCATGTTATGCGCTCCAATTGCCGTCGACTGGGGAAAGACCAGGAGGAGGAGGCGCGTTTGGAAGTTGTGCTTTGCTGGGGTCACGCGCTTATCGCCGACGAGGTTCAGTCACAAGGATAATTCGATAATCGAGTTTCTCTGCTACAGAGGAAGCAGCATTCTAACGCACCATACAAATGACTTGAGATATGACCGATATATTCGGAATACCATAGGGCAAGATGAAGATGTCGTTGGAATAGACGAGTGGTATGTGCGGCCCTTGATGGCAGTTTGTTCACTGACGCGCAAGAACAACATGGAGGGAGAAAGGACCGAGGCCTGTGGCTCGTGAAGTGATCAATCTACTTTCATTCGACATCCGTATATTGTGAGGGCAAGGCTCGACTGGTGATAGACGATGGTGGTGGTGAGAGCGAACCTGCGCGGCGCGTACGGTCGATTCACGACGTGACGACACGCGACGCTGTGTGACCCAACGCGTCCACCGACGATCCGCGGTCAAGCGCGGCTCTTGGCCCACACCGTCAGCATCGTCCTGACTGCAGTCATGGACTCGACCCTATACCTCCCAGATATCCTACAGCTTCCGTCTGGCTTGAAAGTCGAAGCTCATTTGACCCAGCCTCAACACAACTCGATTAAAGGCACCCGAAAACTAGCTGTCTGTTCACACCCCTGGTCACGGCTAGGTGGTAGCATGCACGACCCGTACGTGGGACAGAATCAGCGCCTACTTCACTCTGATTACTAAACTCGGTATACAGAGTTCTGGTAGCGCTCGACGAACCCTTGTCGCGACTAGGATACCACGTGCTACGTTTCAATTCGCGAGGCGTAGGCGGTTCCTCTGGTTGGGCGTCATGGACGGCCTTCCAGGAAGGGAAGGATCTCGAAGAGCTTGTACAACACGTCGCGGAGATGCTGGGTGGGGTTCAAGACGTAGCTTTAATTGTAAGTCTGCAGTCATACCTCGGGAAGTCCATCGTGTACTCACGCGCGTTTCCAGGGATATTCGAACGGATGCTTGTCGACGTCTCTTCACCCGGTACTCGCATCGCCAATACGGACCTCCCACGTCCTGATATCCTACCCTCTGGATGTCAGAGGCTGGCTGACTCTCTTCAATGGGCGTCAATTCCAATCACGACTCGAGGAGCTGGTGTGGCGGCCCGACTCCCGGATGCTCCTTGTCTTCGGTGACAGAGACGAGTTCACAGGCGTAGCATCTTACGAGAAGTGGTCTGCGACCTTGCAAGAGCTCGCCTCTCCTGATGCAACGACATCGGATGCCAGTCATCTGAAGGTCGTGCGCGTGGATGGTGGATCGCATTTCTGGGGCGGTCGGGCGCTTCGGTCTTTGCTCGCTGCTATCGAAGGGTTTTTACGATGACCTTGCTGGCCATCCATGGCCCCAGGGCGCGCGCCACTGTGCGACGAAACCATGCGACAGGCTACGCTAGAATGGGGAGCACATTCTTTGCCTTCTACAGTACGCACATGTTATTAGCGAGCGTGTACGTCACCGCGGACCATCAACCATGCTGCGCTCAACGCATGTGCGCCGGCCTCGGCAACAAGGAAGCTTGTTTTGGCCACATGGCTCTGCAAGCCTATCGCATCAAGTACTTTATCCTAGTAACAGCCGCAATCCGCCCCGCCTTCAACCCACCCCTCGCCTCCTAGCGGTCCCTTCGTTCTTCATTGCCGCGCGCAAATCGGATTCCTCTGAGAACTCCCTGTCGTCAAGGAGAGCTTTCTGTTCCACTTCAAGGCGGGATTTTTAGCCACTTCTGTATAAGACCCGCACCGTACTCGGCTTGACTTGAAGATGATCTCCCGGTGTCTCGTAGGCACTTTTGTGCTTTCTCAGGCAAGCACCATATTCGCCGCCACGGTATGCAACTGTCCCAATCGCACGCGCTTTTCCTGATTAAGATCTTGCAGGCGCAATCCTTTACGCCGGCGGCACAGTCTCCATTCTCGACATCCACCAACTACACTGGTCAAACCAATGGGTCACTTCCCGTCGAGTCTGTTACCGAAGGGAAAGTCTTCGATCGCTTCATTCAGGTACGGTGTTCTATGTCTGGCGGTCAGCGATCACCGAACTGAAGTCACGTCACCTCGATAAGATATGGCTCGAGAATACCAACTTCGCCACCGCTAATACAACTGTGAGCACTTTCTCCGGCGCTTTCTCTGGCGATAGGTTCGGCATCAACGTGTCCTGATCTGTCACCTGAATAGGCAACATTCCGAACACTGGCTGACCAAGGGATCCTGATGAGCCACTACTATTCACTAACGCATCCATCTCAACCAAACTACATGGCTACCATCGGCGGCAGCTTCTGGGGCGCGGCAGATGACAACTCCCACACCATACCTTCCAAGTATGCCGACCGCGTTGTCCTCGCCGCATGACGTGCTGATATGGCCCTTTGATCACAGCATTGGAACAATGATTGACCTCCTCGAAGCCGGTGGCGTATCATGGGCGGCATATGCTGAACATCTGCCATACGATGGATTCAATGGCACTGAGTTCTCTTCAACGAATTACGTCACCCCAGGCGCGGACGACTACGCATATTACATGCGCAAACACGTTCCACCGATGTTATACGACTCGGTTAAAACTGTGCCCTCTCGAGCCGCGCGCGTACGCAACTTCAACGACTTCGCTGCGGATGTGAATGCATCAGCTCTACCTCAGTGGATGTGCGTCCACTAGGGCAGATGTCGGACCATAGCCTCTACTGACCGCCCGAGAACTCAGGTTCGTCACGCCGAATATGGTCGATGACGCCCATGACACCACCATTGACTTTGCGGCATCCTGGCTCGACTTCTGGCTCGTGCCGCTCCTCTCCGACTCCCGTTTGAACAATGACCGCACACTCATCCTGCTCACCTTCGATGAGACGGAGAACTATCTTATCAACAACAATGTGTTCGCTGTTCTACTTGGCGGAGCGGTGCCCGATTCTCTGCGCGGGACAACGGACTCCACGTATTACACGCACTACTCCTCGATGAGCACGGTTCAGGCGAATTGGGGTCTCGGATCGCTCGGCCGAGGCGACACGGACAAGTGAGCTCGTTCTCCCTCAGCCAGCGCCCAACGATTGCTGATGGTGCTCTCACAGGGACAAAGCAAACGTGTATCAGATGGTGGCGAATGTGACAGGATACGAGAACAATGACATCGGACAGCCGGGCGGTGCATCCATACCACTTACTAACATCTTCGGGGTCATCCCTGGCCCATTGAACCCTGTGCTTAAGACAGGCTGGCCAGAACCAGATACCTCTGCGGTCGGTGCGGGAGGAGGGCCCGTCTTCGTCGGCTGACTGTGATGGTGAGAGGTACGTTCAATCTCATTGGTTGGCTCTGCGTGTCATTCTCACCCTCTTCCTCTTACAGACGCATTCCTTGCCACGAAAGTATCGTCATGGGTGCGCTCGCGTTTGACCATTTCAACTGAGGATATTGGTGTATCTGGATTCCTGTACACATATAAAGCTGCTTTCGCTGTTGTACGTCTGGTAGGGAGTGAGCATATCACTACTTTCAACTCGATTAAACCCTTTTCGTCTATCTCGGTCGAACTGACCGCCAACCGTGGTCACTTCTCTGCGCTTTTTGAGTTCCCCGTAAAGCGGGCCGTCGCGCTTCTTCAGGGGGACGAAGACCCGAATGCACGACGCTATATAACCTGAGAGTCCCTGTCCACTATAAGATGACTTCCTCGTTAGCCGCCGACGCCGACGCGACATGCCCGAGAACGAGTACAACATCTTCAGCCCCCAGCACGAGTATGTCATCTTCGTTGTCACGATCCAGCCGTAATCTGATTGTCTGTCTAGTGTCTATCCACTGATAGATCCTCAAGGGATTTTCGCCTCGCAGGCGTTCAAAGACAAGGTCGTCATCGTCACCGGTGGATCCGAAGGTATCGGTGGTACCGTCGCACTCTTCTATGCGCGAGCTGGGGCCAGGATCGTTCTCGTGTCGCGCAGTTCCAATAAACTGGAAGATCGAAAGAGTATCATCGAGAAGGACGTCCCCGGAGCACAAGTTTTGGTCGTCGCCGGCGACATATCGGACCCCGAGGTCGGTAAGCGCGCAGTGACGACTGCTGTGGACGCATGGGGCCGACTGGACGTCGTCGTGGCCAATCCAGCCAGCGCAATGGGAGGCTCAGGGAGTACAGTCCTTGTCAAGTCCGAGCGATAGGCACTATACTGACTCTTCTATGACCAGGACTCGCAGACCGAGATCCTTTGGCTTGGTGGCGTACTCAAGAGGTTAACCTTCGGGGTACATTGAACACAGTCCAGTACGTATGACCAGGCTATTCCCCATCTATCCGTCTAAGCATGATCGTAGCCCCGCCATTCCAGAGCTCCTTAAGACGAAGGGCCAGATAATCGTCACATCGTCCAACGCATCGTATGATCGCTCACCTCCGATGGCGGACTATGGGGTACGCACAACCGACTCTCCTAAACCGTCATCCTACTGAGTTTTGCATCAGATCAGCAAGCTATCAATCAATCGCTTCGTTGAACTCGTCGCGTTAGGTGCTTACCTTCATGCCATACTTACCCTATCGCCCGCCAGCTGACATCCGTTCGAAGACTATCCTGAGCTCTCTGTCTACGCTGTCCATCCTGGCGGGATCTGGACGCCTGGGTCCACTGGTTTTCTGAAGAGCATGGGTCTTCAAGACGTAGTGCCCATGCCGGACTCGGTGGAGCTACCTGCGGCCACATTTCTTTGGCTTACTGCACGTAACGCCGAGTTCCTCAGTGGAAGGTGCGCAGTACTTCTACTTTATATCGTGCTCAGGTGGCTCATCTACTCGCAGATACGTGCATGCGTGCTGGGACCTTAACGAGGTTCTGGCTAAGAAGGAAGAGATCATCCGTGATAACCTTCTCGTCACGAAGCTTGTGGGGCCGGATAAGTCTACGTAGACTGGCGTCTCTCTGTCATTGTGAAAGCGCTACACGATCTATGTCTCGTCATCGAAACCAGCTTTTCCTTCGTGAATGTGAGACGAAGTTCGCGAGTGATGCGACGTGTCATGACAGATGACGGATAACTGATGCAAGTATCACCAAGCCACGAATCCTTCCCACCGAGACCAGACTAGCTCGTACTCGTCTGGTGGTGCTCATCTCAAAGGCCCACCACGACGCATTCATAGGCATACAGTGACATCTACTGCGTGAAGATGTCATCCCCGCTTGTCATGCGACCCCTGGAGTACCACTACTGAATGGTCTGAGGTGGCCGAGACAAGAGAGCAAGGTCAAACCTCTTGCGTTTTGATGCCTCGGATTTGTCGTAAACACTTCGGCGCCGACGGATGGTCTCCGTGCACGAGATGCAAGCGGGTAAGCGGTTCGCCAGCCTTTCTATTGCTATGTGCGAGGGCCGTATAAAAGAGCTTCAGATCGTCATCCATCGTCTATCAGCACACTCCTCTCAAGAGTATTCAGCCCATCACATACGGAACAATGACCAGTCCACGAGGCGCAGGGGAAATCGCTGTCTTCAACAACAATCAACACGAGTATGAGCTCTTTACCTGACGCAGACATAATCTCACATATTGATCATGTACCGCAGTGTCTACCCTTTGATTGATCCCAAGCCGTACTTCAATTCACAGGCACTAGCGCAGACCCGTGCTCCGCACGGGCTTGCCGTTGATGGTTGCCCGTAAACGTACCCTGCACCCAGTATACTATCTGTGCCATACACTCAGCAGTTTTCTTTGCATCCGGTGACTCCTCTGCTCAATTCTATCATATTGCCCAAAGCCCTAGCTTGCCCGGAGCTCTATACCCAGTAGCATGCTCTGCGCCCGGCGCCTAATCTCTACTTCGCGCCGAGTCATTCGCGTCGGGGTGTATCGTCAGTGC